GAAGGAGAGAGAGAGAGAGAGAGAGAGAGAGAGAGAGAGAGAGAGAGAGAGAGAGAGAGAGAGAAGTAAGAAAAGATAACTCCGCCTATCTACCCCGCAAGTTTGTGCAAACTTTCTAAGCGGGGCTGTTTCAACTTGGCCATTACATCAAAAAAACTTCTTTTTTTTAAATTTCTGCTGGACTGAGTACGCTGAGTTATCTTATTTTACTTTACTTTTATCAAGAATATTCTTAACAAAGTAAATTTTTTCTTGAATTTGACACCTACTAAAAACGCCCGCGATCTGCAGAAAGCTTGCAAATGAAAGATCACCTTGAACCCTATGATTTCTTAAAAGAACTTAACTATCGAATTAGGTTATAACTTATAACAACATAACTGGACAGTATAAAATACCTACACTGTCAATGAGCTATTCCTTATTTAACTAAGAAGAAATTGAAGCGAATAAAATATAAAAGCAAATCAACCTCTAAGGGTTTGTTGGGTATGGTCAAAGGGACGTAACTAGATAATTTGTTATGATGTAGCAAGTACTCAATATGTGAAACGGTTGCTCCCCCTCCTAACAGAATTATTTATTTTTCACTTTGTCTAGCGATAAAAATATTTCACTGTAGATGTTTTACAGATCTATCGGCACAGTTTAGAATATTACATCGGGCTACTTTGACTCTATCCGTCATTGCCAATCGTGGTTGAGAGAGATACAACGTCCCAACAGACAGACAGAAATATAATGTTTACCCCTTTTTAAATTAACAATTGGTATGGCATGGTACGTTATGTACAATGTACAGTAGGATACGGTATGATCCGGCACGGCGTGGTGTGACGTGATGTGATGTGGTGTGGTATTGTGGGGGGGTGGTGTGGCGTGGCGTGGCGTGGCGTGGCGTGGCGTGGCGTGGCGTGGCGTGGCGTGGCACATATTAGCCCAGGGTGATACCAGCGGAGCTCAGAAGAAGGTGGGCATGCGGAGATCAAGTGGCTTTCTTACAACAGTCAATGATAATAATAAGGAGTGGACCAATGTTTGTGCTCTGTTGTTTCTTGTGATGACCTTCCTTGCTCTTTACAATTGTATTTTCTCTTCTTATACTGTAACACAAACTTGCACACACTGACAAACACACTTGAATGCACATACATTCATACATACATAAACATTCAAACATACACAAATATACATACAAACGCGCAAACACATCACACACACACACACACACACACACACACACACACACACACACACACACTACCAACAACAACACCAGCTCGTCTAAAGCAGCTCGTATGCATTTGCTCTTCATCCGTACATCTGATTCAGATCAACAGATCAAGAATTGCAACTTATGACACACTAGAAGAAACTTTCAATTCATTCGCTACCTCCCCTCCTTTCACTGCCCATATGTTGCTTTGCTGGTTACCAGAAGAGATGTGTCGATTGGATTACCAGTTACTGTAAATTTTCTGGTTACAACAAAGGGCTTATTTATTTCCATATGTTTATAGGACTCCTTCTTCCGAATTCACAAAATAAACAAAAGGCCTACGGAATAAACACACACACACACACACACACACACACACACACACACACACACACACACACACACACACACACACACACACACACACACACACATATATATATATATATATAGATATATATATATATATATATATATATATATATATATCTGTTTGGTGCTAAGTTTTACCCGAAGAGTATAATTTAAGATTTAAAGAGCGAATTATAGCTAGCTTATTATGCGTTAACGCTATAATGTTTGTTTTTTAAAAAACAACTGAAGTATACTTAAAGACTTGTATCAGTAGAGTAGAATAACCACATTTCGATCCGTTTTTAGATAGATAGATAGATAGATAGATAGATAGATAGATAGATAGATAGATAGATAGATAGATAGATAGATAGATAGATAGATAGATAGATAGATAGATAGATGGATGGATGGATGGATGGATGGATGGATGGATGGATGGATAGATGGGTGGGTGGATGGATGGATGGATGGATGGATGGATGGATGGATGGATGGATGGATGGATGGATGGATGGATACATAGATCTAGATAGATTGATACATTTAATGGAAACGGAATAATATTATAGTATGTAGATAGGTAAATATTAAGAACTAAAGCAAGCTAGGTAATCTAACAGGACCAAAGAGCATCTACTGCTGTAAACACGTGTGCTTGGTGACCTCTAGAACAAGCAACTGAGTTGTTATTTATTAATACCCTTTAAAGCCGAGGGACTGGATATCGTGTACGCAGTAACTCATGACTCCCTGACAACTGCTGAATTAAAAACATAAACAGACCCTTTTGTGAAAAGGTGCGACAATCGATCAGCCTGTTATTGTCTCCCCCTAGCGATAGAGTCGGCCACGCTATCGATAACGATAATGTTCTGCTGAAAGCGAGAATTTTGTTCATGTTTTGGTAAGTGTTTTACGAAGCTCGCAACTGCTTGCGCGGGACACAATACGACCCATTTTCAATTTTACAGAAATAATTTTGAATTTTGCTCGGGTGGCGGCCGAAGCCTGCTCTTATATCGATTTTGGACCCACCAAGTGAAACTAGATTTTTCACCCTTATCTGAGAAGGCTTGTACGCCTCGTCTTAGATCTTACCTACCCTCAGATCAGGGGTGTGGCTAAAAGATATGCAACAGTAAGAATTAGGAGCCAAGGGGTAGCAGTAGAAAGGGTGCAGAAAGAGTCAGGAGCCCAGGGGAGGGGGCAAATGAGGTAAGGGGTGGGGAGGTGGGCAGAATTTAAAGTGGGGATGGAAGCAGACGGCAGAACATGGTTAGAGAGCAGGAAAGTAGGTGAAAATATACATTTTTAGGTAAGGTTTCGTACTCGGAATACCTATTGAATGAAAGGCGAACACCGTGCAAGTTAGAGCCCAAGCTCGAGTATACAAGCAGCTTGGCTCCTTTCACATTTAAAATTTATCCAGATGAATGCAAATTATCATAGTTCTTTTTCTTTCTCTTTTTTTTTAAAGATCGCTTTTCGATTGCTCTTATTATTCTCACATTTATCCACACCTTCTACTCTCTCTCTCTCTCTCTCTCTCTCTCTCTCTCTCTCTCTCTCTCTCTCTCTTCTCTCTCTCTATCTCTCTTTCTAACACACACACACACACACACACACACACACACACACACACACACACACACACACACACACACACACACACACACACCAAAATACGGGTAGGGGCCTACACGTAAATAAATAAACATAATCTGTAACAACTGACCAAACTAACAATTATACATGTAGTAGTAGTAGTCCGGTTCTCCCGATCCGAAAAAACGCCCTCACACTTGTTTTCTCGTGCCACTTGACTAATAATGTAGTAAAAGATAACGTTATATCAGAGAGTTTACTATTACTGTAAACCCTCTCTGGTTATGTATGTATTATGTAAGGAGCGTAGATCTAGATCGAGTGAAATCGGGGACGCATTATATATATTCTATAACGTAACTCACAATTGGCATTTGTGAGGTGGATGATCCGAGAAGAAAAGAACTTCAATGTGATTAAAGACCATAAACGACTTAAAGCAACTTTATGAATCAAAGAAAATTAACTCAAACAAAGAGTGTACTACAGATTACGGTACTGGTGGCTTATCCTTTCCCTTCACCGTACTAAGTCACGTGATGACGTTAACGCCATTTTACACGGAAGTAAATAATGCAGAGGTTATAACAGTAAATCGTTTTCCACTATTGATCGACTGGCTACGCCTCTCTGATATAACTGAAGTGAACAATATCGGCAGCAAGCATATACGTAGACTATTGTGACAACAACAGTACGACTGACGTATGCTTAAAAGGTGTTTTGTACAAATTTCACACAAAGGTATGACTGAAGGAAGGGAAAGCTAATTCAATCATTTTCATATACACGCACAAATCACAAACTGTACACAGTGTAACACAGTACTGTCCGTCAATACTGTAATCTAGATTCTAGATCTAGATCTATCTAATATCTAGATCTAGATCTAGATCTACTATTCTACTGTAGATCTACAGATCCAATGACACACTATTTTGAGTCAAATTGTTCATCAACTTGTTGACTGTTGTATCGTTGTTGTCAGTTCAGTTATCAGTGAAGGCCACCTCTATTCTCACCCGGGGAATAGTGCAGGCGGGTCTTTTGGCTATTCTCACCCGGTGCGCATTCACAGTTATAACCTAGATCTAGGCCAACCAATTTTGATTTCACCCTAAACCACAGAATTCTACACTGTGATGACAGAAAAATTGTAGAATTCTGTGCCGTGAACAAACGTTCCATTACTACTGTTAGCCTACTAAAAGCGTTGTAATTTTGTCTGTGGGCAGTGGAGAGAGAGAGAGAGAGGAGTAGCGCGAGAACTTCCGGGAAAAACAAAACAGCGACCCGCGTAGTTCGGCTCGATTCGAAAAATTAAATAGCCGTAGCATCTTTGTAGTCAACCAAATTAATTTACTTTTGTGTTTTAACATTCATTTTTTAACTTTGTTTTGGTCAATTTGATCGTCCACAACGATAGACAGTATTCAGAAAGAGATAGAGAGAGAGAAGAGGGGAGGAGTAGATCTTGCGAGAACTTCCGGGCAAAACAAAATGGCGATCCCCGTAGTTCGGCTCGATTCGAAAAGTGAAATAGCCATAGCATCTTTGTAGTCGATAAAAGTAGCTAACTTTTGTGCTATAACGTAATCTTTTCTTTGCCTTTATCCATTTGATCGTCCACATCGATAGAAAGTATTCCGAAATTAGAAATTAGGAAAAACAGATCTTGTTTCACACCGTGAGAATAGCCTACGGTGGCAAGTCTCACCCGGGGTGAGAGGTCGATCGTATTTCTATTCTCACCCCGGGTAAGAATAGCCCCACATCCATCAGTGAATGTCAGTTTGTCAAAATAAAAAGGCCGGCACTATTTCTCCGAACGTTCGGGAAAATAAAGCTGGGCACTATTTCTCTGAACGTTCTGAAAATAATGCTGGGCACTAGATCTATTTCTCCGAACACTCTGAAATCACATCCTTTCCCGCAAATTTCGGATATATATATATATAGATCTATAATTATATTATAGGCCTACCAAAGATTGTTCGTATACAATATGGTTCAATCGGTCCAAAAAATGTCCGCAGTAAATATTTATATATAAAGAAATGCTACAGTTCCAAACAATTTTTCGCTACAGATATAATGAGATATGACGTGTTGCCTATGAAGGGTGCTGCTCTTAAACTTAATAATGTGTTGTGTTCACTCGTGTGCTGTCTAGATATAGATCTAGATCTATGGAGGATTATTAATGACGACACACATAGAACAGGCATATCTGCGTTTGTCGCGTCCGCGACCAATCAATCGTGGCTCGATTTTTTGGCATTTTTTGGTCCCCGAATTGGGGAATAAAAGTCAAATAAGCGTTCACTTAGCTTCACTTCGTCTCTTTCTCACTTGTTGGCATCACCACGTTGATTTGTTGAATACGTTACATTTACATACGATTTGTATTGCTGTTCCTCTTTTATTTTTCCCTCTTTGTGGTGCTTTATTTTGTTGGTGTGTAATTTTTTTTCTTGTTTTATTGTTCTGATGTGTTGGTTTTCTATTAATTTTTTTTTTGTCGGGGAAAAAGGGGGGTGGGGGGTGTTGTATAGTGTAATGTCATTTAATTTGATGTTCCTACCTTCATTAGATTCTATATAAATGTGTTATGTTAGAGTGTTCCACCAAAACCGATTACATGTAATGACACTGGCAGGCCCCTTGTGTGTGATTCCATAATTTACATGTAATATCCTGTACTTTTTAAAAATTACGCACATTTAGGGTTAAAACTAGGGCTGGATTCTGCTCGGTTAATCAAAGGCTTGCAAAGCAGCAGGCGTCTTGCGCTAGAGTCTTGCGAGCAGGCTTGTGGTTTGATTTGCCTCCCGCTTGCTACCGGAGGGAACTTCCGGTGAGTTGTGACTCGCGGACAGTCCTACTGTACTGTGTCGTGACGTCGCGAACTCTCGTGGCAGTGGGCTCAGTACACATTACAGAAGATTCTCTGGTTATTTGCGTTGAGAGGCTTGCACCAAAAGTGCAAGATCGGTTGTTGTTTTTTCATAGTTCGGTTGTAAAAAACAAAAAGCTCTATTCAATGCACTTAAAAATTAATATTGGATCGGCTATTCTTATGATGTTAAGGCCTGTTTATTTTTAATGTGCACGAGCCAAGCGCTTAATCGTCGCACGCAAAAGACCTCAGTTCAATTCCCGTATGGGGAGAAATTTTTACTGAGAATCTCCGTCTTTCTGCTGGGGCGTTCATTGTTCCCTCTCAGCCCAGGTTGGCCCTGACATTGGGTTGAAGTAGGCCTAGCCCGTCTCCTAAATGTTCTGCATTATGTCACTGTGAGTGAAACACATCTACAAAATAGGTTATATACATACGATACAAAAGCCAATCACAACAACCCCTGGAGTTTTCCATTTTAGGGTAATCTAAGTCAACTTATTCTTATTACTACCAGAAACCTAGGTCTCTGTTACTACAATACCACGCTCCCTCTCACTCATCCATTCGCTTAGCTGATCAACGGCGGGAAGTTAAAAATAACTTCAGCTCTCTACGCCTTGCACCAAAACAAGCCCAGCCTCTCCCTTCCTCCATGGTTCAAAGTTCACACAGCGAGCAGTACTGTCTTGCTGTTTGAACACATCGGACTGTCTTGTCGCCTTCGAGACGGTCCTACGCGTGCCGCTCGCTCGGTGTATCGAGACAGTACAAGTCAGCAGGTCAGGTTTGGAGCTTGTCCTGGGGCAAATCTCTAGGCCTAGCGCAAATCAGTACTGTGTGAATTGTGGGGCCTGTGGCAGCGGACGGGACTTAAGGCTTGCGCAGGCCTTCGATCAATCGAGTAAACTACAGCGCCACGCCGCGCAGTGACTCTGTGGGCGAGATCTCTCACTCTCCCCCTCTCTTTTTCTGACGTAAGTGGCTTCGCGGATTGCAAGCAGGGTGGGGATGATGAGGGGGCCTGACACGAGTGGCTTCGCGGATTGCTAGTTGCTGTGGACTTGAAGTTTAGACTAGACCAAGGAGGTTACATTTTGCGCTAGACTCAACTTATCATGCTGGTGATTTGATTTGATGACTTGACCTAGTGATTTGAGGCTTGTGACTTGAACTAGGGGCTTGTGAGCACGAGCGGGTTTGCTACCGGGGTACAGCCCTAGTTAAAACAGCCAATCTTCTTCGGACAGGCGGACACAAACCCTTATTTTTGTTAATTTTTGTGGTTGTTTATGGGCTGTTCTAATTTTGATTTCATTCTGTTGTGAAACCTTTCTTTTTCACGTTTTTACACTAATCTAAAGATCTCTAGACAAGCTCGTGAAAATTGAAAAAGATCTAGACCCAAAAATTTGCTCCTTCCCAGACTTCGCAGAATGGCAGAATGAAAGTTGGCACCAAACTCTCGCAAATAGGCAAAAAATCACAAGACCGAAAGCCGGAAACCGTTCGGAGAAATAAAGATCGGCACTATTTCTCCGAACGTTCGGAGAAATAGTCACTTCGAAATAAATAGGGAGTGATACCGGTAACCGGAAACAAAGTCACGAAGTATACAGTACAGACCCGAGAGGAAATCTTGGCGTTTTTTTGGTAGTTCCCATTCCCACCCAGCAATTGTTATTCGCCAGTTTTGGCCTCAAGAGTAGGAGCGTTTCAGGGGGGCCCCCTGACCTAATAAAAATATGGTGAGGGGTTTCAGGGGGGCCCCCTGACCTAATAAAAATACGGTGAGGGGTTTCAGGGGGGCTTGCCCCCCCTGAAGCCTGAATTTTCCTTTAGCAGAAGTAGGCTAAGAAGAACAATTTGAACGTGCGAAACATATGGAAATTGACCTAGATCTAGATCATCCCCTTTCAAACCCCAGATCATTCGTAACTCCAAGAGCGTCTAAAAAGGTTATTCGAATGGGCGTAACTACTCGTAATGTTTTATCCGCTTCCATGAGAGGGGGTTATTCATGTGTTCGTAACACTTTATAAATATAGAAAGCTATAAAAGATAAAGCGTTATTTTAATCATCGATTAACTCACTAACACGGTGTTTCAGGAAAACCCACATTTCCAGGCCCGCTCGCTGTACACCTACAGTACACGCTGAGTGACCCCAGCGGCCTGCCTGAAACGTCCGACGTAATCAGTTGCTGATAAGATTCGCATCTCAGCACAGACGCACGACAAGAGTTAATGTCCAGTTATTAGATCTAGATCTTTCTCAACTGGCCATCCCTGCATCATTAGTTAGTATTAGACAGAACAAGCGAGTTGAGTTGACCTTGCCTGGGGCAATGTTAATTTTATGTCGACCAATGAGACTGCGCGTAGCAATCACACACTCTTGGCTTGCTGGGGGAAGAGGCCACGGTTGTCAATTTTGTGCAATGTGATTTAGAAAAAGAATTAATAATTACAGAAAAACTATTATTACCACACAACAAAATGAAATTAAACATGTGGAATGGTGAAAGTGAAAGTAATGATGATACTGTAGTGGTGGAGGAAAGACCCTGAGTTGTGGGTTACCGTGTACTTAGACACTGCCATTGGGCAATGAGAGCACAGTCTTTTGACTCACTTAGAAGCTGAGTCTGAATAAAAAAGCCATTTTTTTTCAGACCTGAATCCGAATAGATAAAACTGACTCAAGTCCAAGGTCAAAAATCTAATCGGGTAGGGTATTTCAGTCTTAGAGAAAACTCAGCGTTGTCTGGGGGGGGGGGGGGGTAGGTTTTCAAAAATTCACAAAATTTCAACCTCTCTCACCACATACACCAAATTTACACTAGACTACAGAAACATCAGATATTATAGTACAAGAACATGCAAAACAAATGACAGCTGGATTTAACTTTTTAGTGGACCCACCGTGTTTACATGTGTATTAATGATGTGCACTAGCCAAACAACACTAGGGGGTTTCAGGGGGATTTTTTTACTGTGTATTGTGGGTAGTTGGCGGGTGCTCTGGTGTGGTTTGCTCCTTCTTTCCAAACATCTATTAGATTGTCTTTATCTCCCCTCCTTCTTTTTTATGTTTGTTACTCTCTTGTAACACCTCTAATCTTCTGGCGCTCATATATGACCTTATGCAGTTGCGAGGGCTGCAAAACCTCTACTAAAACTAAAACCCTTACCGTGAAACCGCCATAATACAATCAGGCCTTGTATTTATTAACAAAAAAAAGATGTTTTTTCTGCACGAAGTGACATCACACAGTGGGAGATTTAGTGACAGCTGAGCCTGTGTCTAAAAGTGTTCATGAAGCAGATTGGGAAGGCTCTTTTTTATCTTTCCTGGGCTTTGCATAATTTAAGCTCTGACTGATAGCACGGCAGATTCTATTCTCATCGCATTTTGATGGCCTCAAGAAGACTGCATAAAACTTATAAATAATGAACGTACACATGCAGTGCCTCCAGGAGGGATGTCGAAATAAGACCCTGTTGCTCAGATTTATTTTCTTGTTTTTACAAAGTTCCGACCATTGTCTATTCCCAGAATGACTGTGTGGCAAAAGCAGAGTCAGCCGTACAAGGTTGGCTTCATTGGGGTCGTGGCAGGGGCTCTGCTGTTTGTTGTGGGATTCTGCACCCCGTCATGGGTGAGCTTCACCGGTATGGGCATATCGCAGAGCATGGGTCTCTGGCAGATATGTACCATTGACCTCTCGGTCTGTACCATGTCGGTTAGCTCTGACAACCCAGGTTTGTGAAATGTTGTTTAAAATGTCTGTCATAAATAAATTGGCATGTTGCTCTCACAAGTCCTATTCGTGGTCTTTTTGACTTCGTGAAAAAAATGCTGCTGGATTTGAACAATTTTCTTAAAGATTATTTTAGCTTTGAAAGTCATTCATCATACTCTGAAGATCTGGAAATGAAATGTTTGCATTCTGGAGCATCAACTTTTAAATTGTAAATCTGTATGTCTTCATGACTTTGCTGATGAATGAAGTAAGTCCCCAATCTGTATAAAATTTTTCATCAGCCATGCCATAGCTATGGCATGATCGAAGTCTCTCTACTTTCGTCTTTATGACTTTATGGCATGTTGATGCGATACTGGATTTTGGGCAAACTGCGGCTCATATTGCCACCAAAGTGAGCATAATTCGAGACACATTATGATGTGCACCAGAAATTTTAACTTAGGAATGTCCGTGGTGTCGCACACAAGTCAATTAAAAAACAGCGAATTTAGATTAAATTCCCCGAGGATTTCTGTGCTTCACGTGGTGGTCTTGCTCCTTTAGGCAGCTTTGCAGTACGCATTGGTAACCCATTAACACTTTCAGAGCAAAAAGTTTTGAAACATTCCTTGCTGTCTCTTTTTCGTATTTAAAAAAAATCAGGGCTGTCTGTCAAGGTGGTCCTTAACGCATGTTGAAGTCTGTACATATATACTCAGTATTCTGATTATTTTAGAAATCACAATAAACAAACATGCAAGTTTGTGCTTTACCCCCCTCAGGTTTTCTGAAAGCTGTTCGGGCCTTGGAGTGTATCTCTATGTTCTTCGCTGTGGCTGCATGCATTGTGGGATTGTATAGCAACTTTATTCTCAAGACGAGGCTTGCAACAGATTTTTTTAACAAGAACATGGAAACTTCGGCAGTAGTGTCAGGTATGGATATTGTATCATATACAGTCGAACCTATGTAAAACGGTATAACACAGGTGGCAGTCAAAATGAAGAAAATTAATCATTCTCTTCCGAGGTGTAAACCGAGGCTGATCTCAAGCTTTAGACTGCAGCAAGGCTAACTCAAAGGGGTTTTGGTTTTCTTTTTTTTTTTAAAGGGGGAGGTAATGTAAGAACGTTTTTTTGTGTTTTGTTTTTTGGTTAGCTTTCTTTTTGTTGCTGATTTTGTACAAGGGTAAAATAAACGAAATATTATGTAAGTAAGACGATGTAGTCTGAGTGCTATGGTAAAACAAACACACGGGTTGCCACCACTCGGAGAATGAGCGACGCTTCTGTTGCAAGTTCAGGTCAACGTCCATTGTTACTTTGTTACAGATTAGGTAAACAAAACAGTGACCAGTCACTTCACACATGATTTTTGCATGAGTTGTGGGCGGGGCTTATAGGTTATGACGGATCACGCTTCCCTCACCAGCAGGTGAAAATGTATTGTCAGGCTTACCCATTGTTCAACTTGGGTAAACATTCTTTGGAGGGACTAACAATGATAACAGGTGAATGAATTATGACGGCCCATCCACAGCATGAGGCGCCGATTCAAAATTTATGACTAAGCGCGGGCAATAAGTGACCACGCCTGAGGCAGGTCAATTTGACAGTGGGGTAATAAAAAAAAAAGGTGTCCACGACCACGTTGGACAGGTGACCGTTTTACACTATTAATTTTTATGAAAAAAACACAAGGGGGAATGGAAAGTGGCCGTATTATACAGGTGGCCATCACGGCAGGTTCGACAGTATTTACTATTGTGTCAAAATTTTCTGAGAAGGGATCTAAACTGCAGTTTTTGTCTGGTTACAGGAGAATAGACAAAGTGGTGTACATAAATCAAATACATTTATTTTAGATTAAATTACTTCAATCCCACAAACTGTATGCTGATATGAGCTTTCTTTTTTTTATGCATTTACCAGCTACCATTCTTTTGTTTATCAGTGGGATAGACCTGCATGTTTGTCGACAATCGTCTGAAATCTGACAATAGCGACCCGATCGCGAGCCGGCCGATGCTATCGCTAGGCCCACCTGTATTAGGGCCTAGTCAATGTGCGAAGCGCGAGGCCTGGCCGACTGCCAGCGCCCCTTTTTCTCCCGTCGGATTTGTCAGCACTTTCGTTTTCGTGCCGACGTCAGCGTTTCCGACATAATTGTCAGAACCTGAGTAGAAATGTGAATACGAAAAAGGACGACGACCTAAATTATCTACTTTCAGTTTCGTGCTCGACCGGCCATTTTGAATTTCGTTTGTTTAATGTTTACTGATTGTTCAGATCATGTGGATTCTTTCAAGTCCAACTCACTTGTTTTAAGATAATAGAATCTAGATCTAGATTTATATAGATCATGTATAGATCTCAATGGAGGATTCATATTCCAATTCTATTGTGTCAAACCCTATCATAGGTTGTGCTGTAATATTAATGTTGGTAAAAAGCATTTCATCAGGTGCGGGAATTATTTATTATTTAGAATCTAGACTCAGCTGAGTCCCTCTGTTCGGAATCGGATGCGGATTTCTAGTTCAAGGCCTATTCCTATTCCGTTGTTCTACAAGATCTAGATCTAGATTTATTTAGATTACTAGATCTATATGGAGGATTCATATATTCCAATTCTATTGTGTTATTGTATCAAACCTTACCCTATTATATAGCAATTTAGATGTAGGATGCTCCTTGTTTGTTTTGGAGTGTGGTTTTTTAATTTTTTAATTTTGGACTTGTTCTGGCCTTTTTACATGAGGCCTGTTGCAGGTTCTTTTTAATTTTTAGGGGTAGGGTTAGGGTTAGGTCTCTTCTTTATTATGTTTGTTGGGGTGGTCGCTCGTTACTCGGAAGTCCTTCCTTATGACACCCACAAAAGCTCTTATGGGGGGGGGGGGGGTGAGAGGGGTTGCGCAAAATTTTCAGACAATCTGGTTGAGGCTCACATGCAGGTCTAGTGGGAGGAGGGTTACCCCACAGATTATTTTGTTTGACTAGGTGATGAGACTGTGTTATTTTTCTATAAAGGAATATGGCGCTATTAACAATTTTAAAAGCATAATCAGATGTTGTTAGGGTGATAAATCATATTTCAGTTACTTGCAAAATTATAATGAGACTTTTTTTCTCCTTTTTTTTGCTCTTTTACATGTATGCATTATCCATTGGTTGTTATAAAACTCTGTGGACTCTTTTTTATCCTTCCTTTTTCCCCTTCTGCTTCCTAGTGATCTTTGGATCGTTCGGGCTGGTTATCTTCGCCACGCAGATCCACAGCTACCACAGTAACATGATGAACAATGTGTCATGGGGATTTATCCTGGTTTGTGTGGCCACCACCCTCCTGGGACTGGGGGCTTTCCTCATGCTCATCTCGCACAAGATCCGCCTGATCGCGCTCCAGGACCGCTTCGCCCACCGTCATTTGGAGAACTCGTTCCACACTCAGGTGGATTTCCCGGATTACGTTTCCGAGGGCTGTGACAGGCACGCGTACATTTCACCGTACGAGTACGACAGTCACATGGACTACGGTCCCCCGGCTTACGAGACTGTGGTGAACTGTATCCCTCAAGACGAAGTCGCACCTCCACCCTACGCAGAGGTTGCAAAACTGCCAGAGTGATTCAAGCAAGTTGGAGTGATGTCAGAGACGGTGATTGTTGCTCTGCTGTGTTCAGCAGATATACCGTGTTCATATATAATATTCATATATATATATATATATGTCTGTGTCTCTCATTACTGCAGCTCTGGTTCGGACCTCACTGAAGGAAACTTCCTACCTTCACTGGCATGTGCCCATCTTATTAATTCAGACGTGATATAGGATATGTATATGTGTCACATCATGGTGGAGTGGGGCGCTCGTCAATGGTAGAGCACATGGAGCTATTGTTACATTTAAGCTCGTTAATTTGACTTGCTAATGATGAGAGAAAAAAAAGACTTGTTTACATTGAATCGAAGATGAGATATATTTTGTCATTGAAGGAAGTTCTGGACACCTTGTGTCAGAGGTAAAAATCAGGGAGAAAAATAGCCACCAAAGTTTGATGACTTCCTAAACTGTACTTTTCTCAGAAACTGCAAATTTACATTTTTTGTGCTGCTGTTCAATGTTTTTCAGTAAAATTCACTCAGAACTGTGTTTTTCCAGTGAACATAATACTTATAGATGTATTCAAGTTCCTAAAAATGTTGATTTGTTCGATTTCATTATTTGGACAAGTGCTTGATTTCACCATGATGCTACACATTTACATGTTACTTGTGCAACGTCTAGCCTTGTGTAAAATCTCCAGATGTATGTGCCTCTATCACCATTGTTTATGCGCACCATCAAAGATTCACTCATCAACAAAGAAAAAGAAAAAACGTTAATCACTACTCTACCATTTCACAATTGAGACAGAAATGTGAAGCATTCTATAATTACAGTGACACAGGAAGTCTGCTGGTAAGAATGAGAGATCTGATTTCATGATGGGATTGTCTTTGTCTTCAAGAGATTGATGAATGATACTTTGATTTGGATTTTCCAATGTTCGGCTGTGACATATATGCTGCTCGTATCTTGTATTGAAAACACAAGTGGCTTCAAGTTTACTGTGGGGCTTTGTCCGGTTTGTGTTGAATTTTTTTGTTTTTAGAGAGAAGATGACTACATTTTCTTACAGTTTTGTCCAGTTGCTTCAACAACAAAAAAGTCAATGTTCTGAGAAAAGTGTTACTACATGATAATATTTCTCTCAGTAGATTTTGCAACTGGCCTCTTTTTCTTTCAAGATGAGAATGAATTCAGTCTCTGACATCCTTTAAAATGTCTAATTGTTTACTTCATGGGTGTTATTCAAATAGTATGCTCATGTATATTATATCATGCCTGGATTTTTTTCTCTCTTAAACTAGAATTAAATACATTATAGGTTTGGTTTTTTTTAACCCACATATGATGCAAAAAAGCTATGATCAGCAAATATATTAGAATATCTTGAAGCATGCAGATCTTCTAACTCAAAAGAATGCAAATATTGTAGTTGCTGGCTTCTAACTAACGTATATATGTTCCAACATTGACTTCTTGACGTTATATCTGTGTTAATTCTTTTCAAAATGTTTTCCAAGCTTTAAAATTAATTTATTGTAAATATTTTAAGATGACATATCAGTGTTGAAGCTATTATCCATCGTAGTCAAATGGCTATTGATGGCTAAAATGAGTTGGTTTAGTCAAACTTCATGATTTTAAAAAAACATTCCCAAATTCTCTGTCCATGCTGAGACTTGAATAGCGCTCTGCCGTCCTGTGACAGAAACTATTATCAATACTAAATTTTGATGAATTCCATAGGAAGAGATTCGTAATGCAGGTTATGTTCAACAGAAGATCAACAACCAATTAGAATGTGCTGGGGGATTGAAGTGGATCCAAATGTAAGTTGTTTACAAAGTTAAGAAAAAAAAGAGTCTGCTTTTGTCACATAATGAAAACCCGTGTAGCCACCAAGTACTGAAGTTAACTCTGATGCCTTTAAAACAAATGTGAAAATGTTTTTAATAATTTTCCTTCACTTTATTCAACATTTGACTTCCTTTGACGTTTCCTGATACTTCCAAATCTCAACAATATTTTTAAAGAACAGTTGGGTGGTTTATAAGGGTTTGTACTGTATTTTGATTTGTGAGCAAGACTAATTTTATGACTTGGCTATGGTCATTAATTTTTACGCCAAGAATTAGTTATATATGAAGACTTTCCCAACGTGTGGTTGCCAGCCTTTTTGTCTGTAATGGGTGGGTGTGTTCAAGAGTGTTTGTCTGAGGGACATAACTAAATTGCTCACGACGTTGAGACAGTATTGATGTTATTGTTTTGTCGTTTTACGCCAGGAATGTGTAATATTGTTATTGTTTTGTGGCGAGGTGAATGTACTGCAGGAAGTAACCTTCCACCTTAATCAAGCTGAATACAACCCATGTATGACGGTGCTCTATTGTTTTGTAGGCACTCGAGTTTGTTGTCACGGCTGATGAGATGGAGCACTCCTCGCAGTCTCCTTTCATGACGATAATTTTGTTTTTTTGTACATAATAATTTCTCAACTGTTTTCGTAAATCATCGAATATGGTGGAATACATAGTGCGGCCAGTGTGTCGCATCTGTTTGCTGTTGTGCTTACATGGCCTGCCAGCTCTGTATGACGTCGGTGCGGCTCACAACCGTACAGACTGACGCTGGTGTGAGGGTCAGATGGACGCACTACCAAACCGAGCCGTCTATCTCATTCAGGGAATATTGACCGATGTGGAATCCCTTTGAAATATATATTTTTGGTTTATTGTATATCTTCTATCAAATGAGAGTTCAAGGTTTTTTTGTGTTTTTTTTTTGCCCCTGTTGTTTTCCTCAAAAGATTTTTTATTATGTAAGTAATGGAAGGGGCTGTATAAGATAAGAGATACTAGATCCTTTCATCTTACTCCTTTGTGTTGGTAGTTTTAATTTAAAAGATTTTTTTATGACTGTATCTTCCTAATTAAGCAGGCAACCCCAGGGGAAAACTTCCTCATCTCTAGAAGTAGGCTAGCTTTCAAACTCTCTAATAAAATTCTTTTAAAAATATTTTTTTCCAAGACAGTTGATCTCTCTCTTATTGTTCGTAACACTAGCATTTCTTTATGGCTTTGGCTTTGTTCAGCAATTTTCTTAGTCTTGTTTTGTCTTAGGGCCGTTTTCTTTGCCCTGTGTTGTGGGTTTTTCTGCTAGCCTCACACTTATTGCAGTCAGAATTAGTTCAGTATCAACATTCATATCCTCTGATACTCAAACTGGATCAGAATCGTGTCCTCGACAGAGAAATTGTCACCCAGACAGGTCCAGGAAATGTCACTCCCTCTCAGTTATTTAGAGCTACTCTTCTCCCTCCAAGAGCTAACATTGACAACACACTTCATTGAACATCACAGCAACTGCTGCAGACCTGCCCTTATCACTACATGGCATTGGACGGAAGGATGAGAGCCCAGTTGTTTCAGGATCAATAACAAAACAAAATTCTATAATTTTAAAATAATATTCAGAAACTTTCATAAACCACCAATTTTTAGGGAAGGAAAAATATTGGTACAGCACAGAGCGACTTATTCATATAATGTAAGATCCCTATCAACAGTGCAGGGAACAGTTGAAAGTCTCTGTTATTCTAGGTTGCTCTAAAGACTTTACTTAGACCTCGGTTGATTTTCTAAATACTGTAGTTTATTTTTTCTTGTTAGCAAATTTTTCTGGCCCTGCTATTTTGTTTCAATTTATTATTTGTTCGTCTGATTTAAACCAAAAGTAGTCAAAGAAATGCTAGTTTTGTTTACACCAATATATATGGTAGAAGAGGGTTTTCCTGACACGTAAAATGACAATGATAAGATGTATTTTGTACCAAGCAGGGATATTATTAATCATAATTAATGGCCACATTTTGGTGTCGTTATGTGCACTGTATAGTACTCTATACATCCTTCTTTGTATACATGCATATATACGAAGTAATGTAAAGATAAGCACTGTAACTTATTTCATGTCACTGGGCTCAAGATGGTTTTGGCATTATCAGATTTTTTGGTATATTTTTGTTGAAAAAGGTTTCCTTCATGGCCTTCTCCAATTAAATTTTTTTTTTTACCTAGGCTTTACAGATACCGAGGTTTTAGTGATGCATGTGACTTTCATTATATAAACATATAAATACTGTGAAAGCCCTGAACTTGCCAAGTGACCTGATTTTTTCCCTAATTTTTCACCTTTCTAGCAAATAGTGATCACATGGTGTTCGATAATGATTTAATTCTGTTACTCCTCATATCAAAAGTCTGGAGTGTTTATTGTTTTGTTTCAAATTTTATTTTTTATCTTCTATATATAAAAATAAATTATAGAATTTGGCTTCAAAAACAAACCCAAGTTTTGCCAGCATATTGGGATGTTAAATAATTTTTCATAATCTGCTATGTAAAAGTCAAAGGATATTGAAAACAATTATGCTGAAAATTAACAAAGGTCAAGGGTGATGCATAAAAGAATTTGAATAAAATATATGCAAAATGGGCCAGAAGAAAGTATAGAAGAATGATGGTACACGCCCCAACCTTTCACGTATTGCACAGAGAAAGTAAAATAAATAAATAGCAGACAGTCAAATTTTCAGATAAATGTTTTTCAGTACATCTAGGTTTTATGTGGTAAAGCTTTTGATGCAACTTAACAATATGTACCGTATAAATAGAAATTTTTCCATTCTGCCCCGGTAGTACAGAATAAGATATTGACTACACAGTCTTTGTTGTGGTCCATCAATGTTTGATTATGACCATTGACCAATAAACATTGAATATCTCTGCAGAGGAGAATTTTTCATAGATAAATAGAAGGGGGAAAAAAGATTAAGATGACTTGTGGCTTTTTTCTATGAGTATGGGCTATGGCCAATGTGATCAATTCTGGCAGGGAAGATTACTTATTTCACATTTTGAGCCTTCAAAGGCTACACAATACTAAATTTATTTATGAACTTGAAAAAAACTACTTCCTTGAAATGTTGTTCTTTGTCCTTTAAAAAGGAAACAAGACCATAGCTCTCCCGTGGGAATGCGAAGACAGTGGTTTGAGCTGGTGGGCTGGAGTCTCGTTTTTAGAAGAGAGTACAGTAGCTGGTTTTGGTTTGTTTTCTCTCAGTTTTACCAAAAGTGATACATATATGGTTGTTAATTTGTTTTATTATTAAAACCAGTTCTGTGTTGTTTTTATTATTTCTGTTTAGTCAATTATAAAGTGACATTTTTATCACAAAAATTATGTGCAACAGGTCCAAACTTCTTTCAAGTTTCAGATTTGGAGGTGTAGACCTACACTTATAAAAATGGCTGATGTGTTCTGGATTTGTTCCAAGTTATCGGGTGTCATGTTGTTTGTCAGTGTCAATTCTAAATATGATCTTGGTTCAGAAATGATGCGGACATTTGTTTGTATGACTAGATCTATATAATGACAAATTAAAAGTAAAATCTGTTCAGGCATTATTTCAGATGATTTTTAAAGTATCTTTGCATTGCTCAACTACTTTTTTTTTTCGAAAGGACATAGTTTTTTACTGAGATTTTCTTGTATTGTTTCATTATTATCATTACTTTTAGAAATAACTCTGTGTTTAAGACATTTTTATTATCAGCTTATTATGAAACTGTGGTAAATAATGCAGGGGTTGTGTTCTTCCGTTTTTTTGTTCTCCTCTCTCTACCAAAACCTGTTTTACTTTTACTGTCTTGTTATCATGTACCATATTGTACAAAGAAAATGCCTGGTCGGTCTTTCTTTTTGTATAATATCAAGAAATGTTACTGTAATTTGTTTATGAAATAAACTTACACATTGTAGATTTTGTGTACATCATTAACTTTTCTGATTTCTTCATGTGTATTTTTGCAGCAGGGCAGTGCCAGTACTGTACTTAATTAATAGTATTGTTTATCTGTTTACCGTAGTCATTTATGCTACAGACCGTAGACCGTGGGTGGTTGGCGGGTGCTCTGGTGTGGTTTGTTCCTTCTTTCCTATCAAAAATCCATCATCCTTATCTTTCCTCCTTTTTTAGTGTGTAGGTTACTCTCTTGTAGCACTTCTATTCTTCGGCACTTTTATGACCATATTGTGTTGCAAGTGCCGTAAAACTCTTACGAAGAAAAAAAAAAAGACCGTAGCCCAATGGACCTGAGCACACACACCTGAGCGTGACTACCTTCACCTTTCCGCCTCAGTGTACAGTCATGTATCTAGCAGTCGACGCACATGAGCTGAGGTAATATAGTTTCTGGGCGACAGGGCTGAACAAAGGGTTGTTTGTTTGAGTAAAGAGAAGCAAACCGACATGATAACAGTCATTTAGTGTAGGGGAAAAAAACAAGACAGGACAGACAAAGAACCGAGGGAAAAAAACAAAGTTGCGCCTTCTGATCACCAGCTGAAAGGGTTAAATATCCTATAATAAAAGACATGCTAACACTGCTCCAAGACAAAAAGTGTCTGTAGTTGGTGCAGACAGAGAGCAAGGTGTTAGGTCAGGCTTTCTACACACAGGTTGTTTGTGTTTGGGTGGTCAGTCCTGTCTCAGAACAGACAGGATAGAGACTGCTTGTATTTGCACTATGATATTTTTGTCTTAGACTTGAAATGTTCTATTTCTTTTTAGTAAGCGTTTCGTGGCACTTGTGTAACACAAGTAGGTCATTTAAGTGCCAATGATTACAGCTATTATAAAGAGTATAGTCTATGCTTGCTGTCGAGCGGGGATATGCGTTATACAAATGCTATTATTTATTATTTTTATTATTATTATTATAAGAGAGTAACAAACACAAAAAGGAGAGATAAGGACAATAGATGTTTGATAGGAAAAAAGGAGCAAACCACACCAGAGCACCTGCCAACTACCTGTGTCATAGAAAAGAGACGCGTGAGAAAAGGTTTTATATACAAGAGGGGAAGGGATTGAAAAAGGCAAATTTTTTCACTTAACCTTGGGTTTCGAATTTTCATTTGAAGAATTTTTCCATTCTTGTTCAACAGCTTCATATTTCCTATTGTGCTTTGAGATTTACATTATATTTATTACATTTTCTGTCACTGCTGTTTTGCACAGTAAGTAAAGATTTACCTTCACCAACACTACTGGTATAATGTAATGCCGGCCCAATTTGGATTAACATCCATCTTTTTCGTCAGTGGCAAAGAAAAAAAAAATGCAGAGATACAGTCAAACCTGCTCTTCTTGTCTAACTCTTACCGTGACCTGTTCAAGATGGCCGCCTACACAAATGATCAATCCCCCACCCCCTTGTTGCATTTTTCTACATCATTCTAATCTAAAGACAGAGGAAAGATGGGGACAACACTTGTCCTCTGCTACTTTCAAGGGGAAACAATCAGATGGTTTGGACATGTGACACGTATGGCACCTCACCAGCCTGCCTACTACAGAAAAATATCAGGGTACAAGGCTAGAGGAAGACCAAGAAAGACCTGGATCGAGGGTGTACATACAACATTCCACCAAGCCAGGCCATCAAACTTACTAGAGACAAAAAGCTCTTTCTCCCCTCGACGCCCTAGAGGTACAAGAGCACAGATAAAGTAAAGTAAAAAAAAGTGTTATAATGACACTGCCCAATGCTTCTTCTATCTATCTGTCTAAGACAACCACTTTTCTCCTCGACTGGGTGGCTGTCACGGACAATTTCACTTGTATATTTGTTACTGTGGCAAGCAACCCAAGTCCAAATTTTGAAAGTTTGAGAGTTAAAAAAATGTTTTTTGTAACCTCCCAAAGTTCCAGTAAAGATACACCTTTCAACATCACCAAAATGCAGTCTCTGCTATAAAAAGTAGAGGAGTTACAAATACAAGAGAGTAACAAACACAAAACAGAGGGAGAGATCAAGACAAAAGATGTTAGACAAAAGGAAAGAAGGAGCAAACTACACCAGAGCACTCACCAACTACCTCCTACAGATTCATAACAACATTAACACTCACACAAAAAGTCAAAGAAGACAACGTAACCCTTTGAAAACAAACTGAAAACATTTTCGAACAAGCGAACAAGTTTAATCAAAGATATTTTCAAAAATTTCCAGAAAATATAATTGCAAAATGAAATGAGCACTTCTTTTTTTTAAACATAGTACATACTCACACACACACATCTACACTCTCACACACACACACATCCTCTCCTCCACACACATCTGAGTACATAAACGTAATCTGTATAATAGTATGCTTGCACTCATTAACAAGCTCACAGTCACATGCATACAACATATAAATGAACAACAGTGGAACTGTAGATGCATATTGCGAAAGTTTGAAAGAATAAATTACACATGACTGGCATCTGCTGAGTAGCAGTTCGGCACTTCACTGTTGCAAACAGAAGATCTGAGTACAATTCCCAGTTGGTGGAACTTGTATAGAGTACCTCAATTTGTATTATAGGACACTGTAGATCCTCTTAGCACTGCTTTATCCTGATAAGAAAGGGTAAAGTCCGCCTCCTAAATGATCTAAATTGTGTTGATGTCAGAAAAACCGTTTACATTCAAAATAATGAGTCCCACATGGGTCAAGGGTACTATTCCAGATTTGGTTGGTTTTGAATAGGTACAGATACTTGGTGTTCCACAGAAATGTTTAAAAAAACTTTTTTTACACTCTATACAGTGCAGTATACCGTATGCAGTTCATTATAGGTGTTCAAACATGTCCTTTAGTTTTAGTTAGCGCAGTTTTGTTTAGTTTTAGTAAGACTTTAACGGCACTTGTAACAATAAAGTCATATAAGTGCTGAAGATTAGAAGTGTTACAAGAGAGTAACAAACACAAAAAAGGAGGATAGAAGGATGATAGGAAGAAAATTTAGGATGGAATAAACTATAAACTTTATTGACTCATAAGCAAAAATTTTGGAGGACGTAAAACTCTTACGTACTGAAACTAAAGGACATAAACAAGAGCAGAGACATACAAAGATTCAGAAATAACAACAGCTGACTGCACTTTCAATGCTTTCAGTTGTCTAGGCTTGAATAGTTCACATGCTCATACTCATATGACCTCATGCAGTTGCGAGTGCCATAAAACACTTACCAAAACAAAAACAAAAAAATTATAGCTCAAAACCATTTTTGATTGTTTGCTGAGAGGCAAGCTGAAATTCGTAAGTCTAGTGTATAATAATAAATAGCCTACATTGTGCAGAGAGAGGCTTGACACTGAACTCAAATAAACTAGCAAAGAAATCAAAGTGTTTCATTTTTTTTTAAAACATGATAAGGAGCAAACTCACCCTTTAAAGCATGCAGAAGAAAATATTGTGCTGCAAAAACAAAGAGCAACCTCTGGATCCATGGGCTATTTAAGTTTTAGTAAGAATTTGGTGGAACTTGCAACACAATAGGGTCATATCATTTAAGTGCTGAAGATTAGAGTGAGGCGTTACAAGAGAGTAACAAACAGTGTACCTACCAACCACCCACATGGGCTACTTTTTTCTAGCAGGAATTTTTTAAGTACATACAAGGTACTGTTGGTGTTAGGGGGATGGTGACTGTAAAGAGAGTTACCCATTTTTTAGAAACAAAAAAAATTTGTCTACATAATAACCTAATATGCAGTAAAAGTACGAAGAGAAAAGGTTTTAAAAAATTAATAACTGAATCAAGAGGGCTTGACAGATTGTCGCTTCAGAAACTATTTAGTCCAAAGTGTACTTAAGTAAAGAGGCACTTTGGACAAAATAATTCTGAGGCTACGAGGTTACTCATCTCAAGTTCAGGAAGGACAACTATTGTCATGATCGTTATAAGATCTTATTGTGTAGCAGGTGCCGTGAAACTCATACTAAAACAAAAACCCGGAAGATAAGAGGTATTACGAGAGAGTAACAAACACAAAAAAGACCTGTCAACCACTCACGTGGGCTACTTTTTTCTAGCAGGAATTTTATAAGTAAATACAAGGTACTGTTAGTGTTAGGGGGAAGGTGACTGTATAGATAATTACTCATTTTTTAGAAACAAAAGAAGTTTGTCTACATAATATCATACATGTAAGAGTACGAAGAGAAAAGAGTTTTTTAAAATAAATAATGATTCAAGAGGGCTTGACAGATTACTAATCTCAAGTTCAGGAAGGACAACTATCATCCTGATCATGTCAAGTCAACATAGCCGTAGAATTATCTTGTCAGTTATGTGTTGGAAACTGATTACCATATTATGCACAGGTTGAATAAAGCCCATGATAAAATCAGGTACAGTAAAAAGGGGATAATCAACCCACTGTCAATCAAGCTATTTTTAGGGACATTCTTTTTATCTTAGTATTGTCTGCTGACTTTTATCTTTCATAATGTATTATACTATAAACAGAAATGAGACTAATCAGAACTGGTTGTTTTTTTTAAACATTGCAAACTGGCTTTTATCCCCTTGTGCATGTTTTAGTTTTAGTTTTAGTAAGAGTTTTACGGCACTTGCAAAACAATAAGGTCATAGAAGTGCCGAGGATTGGGTGTTACAAGAGAGTAACAAAAACAAACAAAAAAGGAGGGGTGATAGAGACGATAGATTTTTTTAATAGGCAAGAAGGAGCAAACCACACCAGAGCACCTGCCAACCACCCATTTGTGCATGTTTTATTACAAAATACCTAAGGAGTTCAGATAGTATGAGCAGCTACAACAATGTATGTAAGGTTGTTAATGCTCAAAATGTGGTAAACTCTTCTAGGCCACAATTCATCCCATTGGCCACAGCAGAAGCCACAAATCACATTTTCATTCTTATTTCTTCCTATTTCTCTTCAAGAAATATTTTTCTCTGAAGATCGATATATGAGGCATCTTGGTGAAATCGGGCGCTCATCAAAATAATGAAATCAAAGAAAACAGCATTTTTTTTGGCGGATGGGCAATTTTTTTCTAATTTTCTTTTTTGGGGATTTTACTGAAAACCATTGATTAAAGACACAAAAATGTAAATTTTTAGTTTCCAAGGACTCTCAGGCTATGGAAGTTACCAAAACTTGGTAGTCATTTTCTCACTAATTTTAACTCTGAAACTGGGGATCAAGGACTGGTGATGGGTCTCATTTAAATATTGAGAAATGCGTAAGTGTCTCAAACAGCTTCTCCCAATCCAGCCAACCGTACCTGCCCGTGGTGGTCCCTGTTTCCACTGACACGGCTCTGGTGAATGGCGAGTTGTTGGCGCCAACAAACCAACCCCCCCGTTTCCTAAAGGGGTTAAAACAACAGGGTGGGAGCAGGTGTGGCCCCACAAGGTGCAGGAGGCAGAACCCACTGATGCGTGGTAGACGCTATGCTCCTCACTAACACACCCCTACTCTCCCTTGAGTGGGTGTCAAATCTACCTAACACCTCTACTGCTTTTATCAACGCACCCTCTGTGGCTGAGAGGGTACCAGCCAGTTTGAGAGTGTCTGGGTGCAGGGGATGGACCGAGCGGAATGCCTGACTTCCTTTCTGACCGTGGACCTCTTAGTAAAGGCACAACGACCCAGGACGTGACGATCCAATGGCTTTCCCACTTGGCCAATACCTCATGAAAGATTAGAAAACTTTAGCCAGTAGCCATTGGTGGCGGGGAATGGGCAACAGGAACCCTACCGGAATTGCATGGTCACAGGGCAGTTAGGTCTTTCCAGTCTCTGAAATCCCCTTGTACCCTCTTATCCTCAACATGAATGGCCCCTTCTCAGGGTGGGCAGGCAGTCCACAGACACCCCAGTTCACAAAGCCATAACAACAACAACTCCGAAACTAGACAAGCCTGATCTCCTTCAATTGCAAATATTTCGACTTCTATTCAACATAGATGGATATTTTTTTCACAAACAGGAAGGCAAATGAACAGGCATTAAGATGATACCAATAACCCCATTAGCCCAAAAATTTACGAGCGCCTGATTCCACTGCTTCGTGACACATATTTGCATTGGTCCCTAGTTTTTAAACACACTTGACACAGCGGTTATGGAGCGCCCATTTAGTTTCGGCTGGCGCGAGGCAAGCAAGCCCGCGCTTCCCCAGGTCACGGGGTCATTTACCTGCGCCGCCGGGGATTTCCCTAATCAGCCGAATACCGGCAGCGCTCTTGTATTTTTTGCAAAGTTTACCAGCACCGTGAGCCAAAGCTAATGTAAGATGAATATTTTAATAAAGACCACGTAAATATTCAACATATTAAGGAAGAAAATGAAGAAATCGGAAGAACATGGTATGTTACACTTAAAAGCTGTGAAGTTCTCAAAAAGGGGACTTAATTTGATAAATGTGTCATGGGTAATCAATTATAAACATCAATTTAAATGTGATTGCCCCCAACGATTTCAATCAAATTTGCAAAAAGGACTGAGAACATAATGAAATTAGTACTGACAAAGGGGCATATGCACAAAGTTTCTGGATCCGTAATTATTCAGGTTTGAAGTTGATTTTTGCAATACTCTTGCTTTGCGACCTTGTTTTTTCATAGCGATATCCACGATACATGTAACTACAGAACAGATCCTTCCTTGCCGATACACTTATGAAAACACAACCTAAACACAAAATACAAAAAGAACACAATATTGCTGGATTGGAGGAATTATCTCATTTTTCCGCTGTAAGCTTTCGTCTTTTGATTGGTGGTGCACATGACAGAGTAGCTCAGGGTGGGTTTGGACGTGTTGTGACTGCATGATTGTTTTTACGTGTTTTTCTTTGTCTGTTATTGCTGCTACTGGTTTTTCCAGCTTGGCCACGGTTGCATGAATGAGCTCACCCCTTTGCTCACCATGGAAGCATTTTTGTATCCAAGGAACGCAGTGTTTCTCAAGGATGTGTTGTTTGGGGATGACCTTTTCTTTTGATTGATTTTGATTGAGTAGCACGTGTTTTACGGCACTATCGACTCAAGACCTTTTATTTGCCAAATATGATTCTGTATAAAGACATATATCGTGTGATGCATGACTGAATATGTGGTATTCTCTCTAAAGTGATTGGCTTTCCATGTGCAATTACAGTGTGGGTATCTTTGAAGGTGTCTTTTACGTGAACAAATTTCTCTCAGAACAATTAATGTGGTGTCTATTATGCTTTGATTTCGTGTACATGCAACTGTTCCTTTTGTTAAAAATGATGCTAGCTGTCTGTACACATGGGCTGTGATGTATTTATAGCAGTGGTTTCCTATAAATGAACGGCGGTGGTAGGCTTGTGGTGTGATGTTGTGTTGTTTGAGGATGTTATCAAATTCAGAGCAGGCAGGACTTGACCTTGGAATAAGCTCCTCAAACTCTAACTCTGACAGCTGATCATGTACACTAGAACCCTCCCTCTCAAATCTCTCTGCTTCTTGTGGATTATCTGACAAAACCTGACAGCCCTGTAACAATTGAATGTCCCCCTCTGTTTTTTCAGCCCTCATTCATTTTTTTGCCGTAGATATGCACATTTTGTCCTATTCCAGGCGTGCAATTTTCCATAGATTGATGTGCCAGCTGTACATCTATATCATGTGCCAGCTGTACATCTATATCATGGACCAGCTGTACATCTATATCATGTGCAGCCTCCTCAAGAAGGCGATGATGTTTGAGCACAATGCCCACCATATGATCATGTTGAGTGTGGCACTCCATGACAAAAATATTGTTAAAAATGACAACCAAAATCAGATGTAGTAGAGGCAAGAAAACTAAAAACAGCAAGGATGAATGTTCAGAGTGGTGGGTTGGTATTTTTTTTTAAATCACAGAAAATCATAGAATAACTTAGTGCACTTGAAACTTGCACATGTAAATGAAAATTGTCACCACAGTTGATACATGAATTTCTGTTTAAATCGTTGGGGGCCGGATTGAAATATTTAAATCCAAACTGAAAAAGTTCTAAACATTGAAGATGCCAGTTTGAAAATCACAGACTTACTTAAAACCCTTGTAAAACTGATATAATCGGACTTACAAGAAAACAAAATATACCGGCTTACAGGTCAAACATAGCACGTTATAATGAAATCTCAATCGGCCTTGTAGCATTTATAGTTTCAGAGTTATGAGGCTTTCAATTCGCACTAAAACGCCATATTTACTACTGCCCCGGCACAGGAGGAGTGTCGCTGCGGTCACCCCAATTAACCCCTCTGACAAGTGATTTATGACTACGCGCTGGGCTGTCGGGCGGGGCGGGCAGGGTGGTGAGGATGGTCGGGGAGGAACCGGGGAAGGAAAACTAAGTGAGCGGTCTGGACGGTATTTTATCCGCTGTGTTGAGCCTATTCCTGTGTGTTTACGGGATGTCCTGCTGGTTTGGTGGCCCAATCACGTGAATTTACTGGATGCATTTTATCAATTGACATCTGCAGTGTTTTTCGGTTACAGGTTATGGGAAGTAGCAAGCCAACAGTTGACCACCTTGTTTCGTTTCATGAAAAATTTTGTTTAGTTATGTGCTATATTTTTTAGCTGTAACGGAATAAGTCAGTCACCCCCGCATTGTGATTTTGATTATTTTTATTACAATTTGGGTGGGGGAAAAAAATTGCATAACCCCAAGACATTTCCATTTCAAAATATTGATAAAATAAAAACTATTCGGACAAATCAAATGCAATTTTCTTTTCCTGTGAGAGCTTTTCTTTCTTTTTTTTGTTGCATGTATTCCATTATGATGGCTTTCATGGCCTTTTTATGGTTAACAATTCAATATGCCCTAAAACTGTCAGGCTGAAATGGTTGGTGGGTGAGAAATAGCTCAGGCTCAAGTGAGTTAACCATCAACATTAGGAAGCTTGAAACTTTCACTACTAAATCTAGGTTTTAAAAAAATGAAGCAATTTCAGAAATTAGCGGAACGCATAGAACAAAGAAGAGCAGTCACTCCCACTCATCTGTAATTTTGAGACGAGAAACTTTAACTCTAAGTAAATAAAGAAAATGGAAACATTCATTTGGCCTCAAACCATCCTTGCCACCTCAGCAATGTGTTTGTGTGTTTCGCTGGTCAGACTTTCTCCAAACTTGTCAGTCAAGAGACTCCATCAGACAGGACCTTTAAGATGGGGTGAACCTGCAGAAGGAACACGCAGAGACTATAGTTAGATATTTTCTATGAAAAATTATGATGTGGATGATCGACTGAATATATATGTGAAACATCGTGAAGAAATCAGGTGCTCGTCAAAAAATGAAATCAAAGAAGTCTGGGGGTTTTTTGGCCCATGGGCAATTTTTTTTTTTTTTCTTTTTTTGGCTCAACACCTTTTATATATTCTTTGGAAAACACATTTTTGTGTGGATTTTACTGAAAAACATTGATTAAAGGCACAAAAAAAGCAAATTTTCAGTTTCCAAGGACTCTCCGGCTATGGAAGTTACCAATCTTTGGCGGCCATTTTTTCACTAATTTTACCTCTGAAACCAGGCAACCCCACCTTCTTCAGAGGCAAATATCTCAATTTCTATTCAAGATGGATGGTATTCTTTTCACTAAAAGCAAAGCAAATAAACAGGCTTTCAGATTGCATCAGTAACCCAATACGTTTGAAGGATGTGGGGTCGCCTAATTTCACACTAGTAAGAAAATGGCGGCCAAAGTTGAAATATTTTCTCAACTTGAGAGTCCGTGGACTTTAATCAACGTTTTTCAGTAAAATCCACACAGAAATGTGTTTTTTAAAGGGCATGAAAGGTGTTGAGCTAAAAAAAACAAAAATTCAATAGAAATTCCCAAACCTGCTGAAAAATGCCAATTTCTTGACGTTCATTATTTTGACGAGCGCCTGATTTCACTACGCTCAGCTGCCTCACATATGTGTCCCTGCCGGTCAATATCAGTCATATGAAGGAAATTTCAAAACTGAGTTAACATCATTTTCAAAAACTATCACCTTTTCCCTACAATTCAAAACAAGAATGAAGTAAATAGGACCAATATTTGACGAAAATACAAAACTTTTAATTGTGCGAGGTGAGGAAACGTGAAAAGGAGAAAATGGCCTCCGAAGTTGAGCAACATGTTTCCATAGCAATGGGGGTCTTAGAATTGAGATAGAGACTTAAAAATTAGCCTGATTCCAAGGTAACGTGACACACATTTACCTGCTGTGTTCCATTAGGTGTGCAGTTCTCCATTTCATTTTCCAGTCTTTCAACATCACTGAAAAAAAAGGGATCTTTCAGCTTGTACCAATACCAAATTAACCTTTCCAGCCTCAGCCAGTTTTGTGCACTCATTAACTCCAGACCCAGCCAATACAGTAGTTAGAAAAATAGGCATACGTTCTAAAAAGTGATGTAGTATTTTTGTAATGAGGTTTAGATAAAAACATATATAAGTGTTTAAAGGTAGTTGAACAAATATTCTGAAAATTAAAGTTCGATTAGGTTCACTAATTTTGAAAAATGCGCAAATTCAGTACCACCTGAAACTGAGAATATACACTCTAGGGACAGAGGGAGGTACAAGTAAGCGCTGCCAGGAGCACATCTTTCTCATAATTTTCTCATCATCTATTTCCAAACAATTTTTCTGGGGCTCTCATGGTCTACAGGTATAGTGTACACCTCTTATTCAATAGCTCCCAGGTTTGAAGCCTGAAAGACACAGAAAATTTTCTCCTTTCCCCTCCTTATCTACTCTCTGATCATGTTCTGTCATCTACTTTCTGCCCTCCCCCACTCCCTTCCCCTTCCTCTGGGTTACTGACTCTTTCAGCAGCCTTTCTACTGCTACTCCTTAGCTCTTTCTTACAGCTGTCTTTCAGCTACATCCCTGATCTTAAGGTAGGTAAGATCTAACACCTAGCCTTCTTAAATAAGGGTGAAAAAACCTCAGAGGTCCTGTGTGCAAGTTGTGCATATTAAAAATCCCTTAGTGGTCCTAAGATTTTTAAAAAGTAGGCTTCAACCGCCACCAGGGCAAAATCTAAAATTAATTCCCATCGAATTGAAAAATGTTTATCGTGTCCCATGTACTCATATGACCTTATGCAATTGTGAGCGCTGTAAAACACTTACCAATAAAAAATAAAACAACAACAAATAAACCAAATCATGACAAGTAAAAATATAATTAAAAGAATTTGCAAGGAGAGGGGGGTGATGAGGGTCCTGTCTACAGCTCAGATTTAGAGGCTTGAGACAGTAAATCTCAAAGAAAAGTTCTCAAATCATCCTAATATACAGTTGGACTTTTTATTCCTCATACACTTCCCTAACATGATACAGTTTAACACGGATAGCTCGAATTCCTCGTGACCGGCCTCGGTAGTCTGAGGGATCCATAGCTGGAGGGATATTTCACAAAAATAATGAAGGAAAAAAAAAATGGACCGCAGGCACAGTTCGAAGGTTGCGTGATTTCGAGTCTTTTGTGTTCGACCTATCCATGTTATACTGTATGAACATTCTAGAGAATCACCTCAGCGGCACTGACAAAAGAAATACTCACTACCTTTTACATTTTTGCACGGCTTCCGTCAGGTTTTCTCCTAGCTTGTCGAGCCGTTCTTTCTCTTCTAGTAAGGTCGCCTGCAGGATAAACATCAGATAAGGGTATATAATAAATCCATATTATATAGCCACTGAAAAGAGTATAGTTTTAGTAAGAGTTTTATGGCACTTGCAACACAATAAGGTCGTATATGTGTTGAAGAAAAGATGATTTGTTTCAAGAAAGTAACACACGAAAAATGGAGGAGAGATAAGGACTATAGATGTCTGATCGGAAAGAAGGAGCAAACCACACTAGAGCACCTGCCAACCACCCACAGAAAAGAGTTTACTACTTGCCAGCTGCACCTGATATTTTTACATTGATTAAGAGCCACATGTGAGGCGGAAAAAATACCCCAATAAACTCTCTTTTTTACCCTAAAAATATGTGAACTAACCCATTTTAGATTAATTGGAATCCCAATCTCCTAAGGGGGAGGCTACATTAGAAGCAAGAGAGCTGGGCTGAGCGGGAGCGAGAGGATATATATAACGGATATTTCTGTTTAAATGGCCATACTGTGAGTGGCTCCCGCATGAGTCTCCCTAGCTTTGAGCAAGACTACACTTCGCTATGTTTCTTCTCACTTCCCGCTTGGCCTGGCTCATTTTGAGACAGCAACACCACCTTGACCCCACGTTTCAGTGTTTGCAGACTTCATCCCCTGGCTGTCTAGACATCTCCACATGCTCTTGAATCGTGTTTCTGACCCACGGGCCAGTCAACACACCAGTCTTTTCACTTCAGCTGTTTCCCGCTAGCTTGCCGCTCACAGTATGGCCACCCCCAAGTTTATCGCTCATCACTTGCTTCCCACTAACTTCAGCTCTCGATGTAATGTGGCCTCATACTTAGAAACCAACAACACACAGTATGATTAATGATAACAGTTGTTACATTTTTTCACACGTTTTCACTACTTTTGAAGATATCACTATTTTTCACGTATTGTACGCTAAAATGAACTGCTGTCACAAGGTTAGTCACATTTCTTAATTTTTGGCAATTGCCAAAAATAGGTTTTTCGTACCAGGAGTTCTTTCATTATGTGAAAAACTATTCAAAATTTGTACATTTGCTTTGATTTAACTCATTGCACCCAAGCTACGAGTATATTCCAGCTGCCGTACGCTTCCGTCCACCAAGCTACGACAATAGTTGTATCAAACTACCAGTCCACAAAATCGAGTCCGAACCACTTATACGGATTGAAAATAATAGGTTGCTTGTAGCTTGTAAAAACTTTTGCAAGCTTGTTTTGATCCAGGTTTTCGCCAAGGACGAGTTAGTTTCGTTGTTTCGTCAACGCCAATCATGACAAGAAAGTGAGCACTGAAAATCTTCATGGACAAGAAGAAAAAAAACTGCCACAAAAAACAACAGTGCCTCGGCTATTTTTGTGTTTTTTTAAATACATGAACCATGTTTTTAGTTTTGTTTTAGGCATAAGCGGCAAGGAAAGTGAAAGTAAACGTAAATCTAGAAAAACAAGGTCATTGATTTTACTCTTCGAAGAAAAGCTAGATCTAAACCATAGATTTACTAAAAATGCAATGGGCAAATCGAGTGCCGATGAGTCGCAGTTGGACGAAGTATATTTTGTTTTCTCTGCTCTTTCCTTCCTCTTTCTCTTTAATAATATAAAAAGAACATTTTACGTAAAATCTACGCGCAATTCCATATTGATACCTTACATAGTTTGGGCACAAAGTGTTTCTAAGGTTAGTATGTTGAGTTCAGACCGGTTTTTTCCCCCCAGCTCACACAAGCCAGGTGGACACAAGTGTACTGCCGCGGCAACGCAGGGTGAATTGGGTTAATGACCAAATTAGTAACATGTTCGTCACTCTTAGGTTCCGTACCGAAAGCGAGCTCCGGCATAAAGGGAAAACCCCTCCTGAGGAGTTAAATCTTGACAATGAAATGGTGAAAAGTACGCTGGTTTGATGACATGATGGTACTATTCTGGCACATAACATCTTGCCACCACTGTGCCCCCCCCCCCCCCCCACCCCACCCCCGCGCTCCACTCTTGAAAAAAAAAAAATCGCAAAGCCCACTTCAAGGAAAAGGAGACAGTGCTCCCTATGAGTAAGTACAATTCACAAATGCGAAACAGCGTGGTGAAATCAGGCACTCGTCAAAAGAATCAAAGTGAAGATACTTGCATTTTTCCACAGGTTTGTGGATTTTTATTGATTTTCGTTTTTTGGCTCAACATCTTTCATGCAAATTAAATAACACATTTCTGTGCGGATCTTACTGAAAAAAGTTGATTAAAGGAACAAAAAAAGTAAATTCTCAGTTTCAACAGCGTTTTCTCACTTATTTTACCTCTGAAACCAGGTTACCTCCGCCTCCTTCATTCGCAAATTTCTCGACTTGCATTCAAGATAAATGGATACTTTTTCATCAAAAGCAATACAAATAAACAAGCTTTAGGATGATACCAATAATTCTACACGCCCAAAAAAATGATGCAAACCTGATTCCACTGCGCTGTGACACACATACATATATTTATATAATATTTGACTCTTACCATAGAAGAATCAATTCTATCAAAGTCTGTGGGATCATCTGTCGGTGCTTTCAAATTTCTCAGAGTATGAGAAACACTGTAAGAAAAGAACAAAACAAAAACTGTTAAAACCATATCTGAAGAAGAAGAAAGAGATAAGCAAACAGCAATCACACGTTTTTTTTATACAATGATCGGGAAACAGAGTACAGTATATCAAAAGCAACAGGGTGTGGGCAGGTTTGAGCTGTTTTCTTATTATGTTTTATCCCCATTTTCATTGTGTAGCCGTGCCAACCTGGTTTTAGGGAATAACGCTTTCCAAAGTTTGAATTTCCTTTACTGAAACTATATGTGAGACAGCATGGTGAAATCAGACGCTCGTCAAAATAATCAAAGTGAAGAAACTGGCATTTTTCCGCCAGTTTGTGAATTTTTATCAAATTTCTGTTTTGTGGCTCAAAACTTTTCATGAAGGCAAACTGGGATCTCTTCAGAAAAACAGTTGAGGACACCGTTAAACTGGATGATCTAGACAATAAAAGTACAGACGTCCTTAATAGTGAACTCACCTCCACCATCTTAGATGCTGCAAAAAAGAGTATCCCACAGGGGTGCAGAACCAACTATAAACCCTTTTGGAACGAGCGCTTGGAGAAAGCTACAAAAACTAAAAATGATGCCAGACATGAATATGAGAAAGATCTAAAAAATATGGTCAAGAAAATTAGATACAAAAAGGCCGTAGCAGAGGCTAAACTTGTCACCAAGGAATCTAAGAAGGAAGCCTGGACGCAGAAGTGTGAGGGACTCAATCTACATCAAGGTGGACGTGAAGCTTGGTCACTTCTAAGTAACCTCACTGGCGAAAAAAGGAAAGAAAACCCAAAACCACTACACACAGAAACTGAAGTTCTCACCAGCGAGTTCAAAAAAAGCTGAACACTTCAATAAACATTTTGCCTCCATTAACAAGAGCAGCAAAAGGAATGACCTGGACAGGGGTCTACAGTGTTCTGAAAGGAAAAGAGAGAGATTTGATGACACCGAGTATCTTCCAGGACTTCTTAACTAAGCGAGAGTTGGATTGTGCAATCAAGAAACTGAAAAAGCGAAAAAGCCCAGGTCCTGATAAAGTACACAATGAGATGCTACAAAACCTTGGTGAAAAAGCCAAATTGCTACTTCTTAAGCTCTATAACAGAACATGGACCGAGGGAAATCTGCCTAAAGCATGGAAACTAGCTACTATAAACCCAATCTTAAAGACAGGAAAGAAGGCAATGACCCTATAAACTACCGCCCAATATCACTTACGTCCTGTATTGGCAAGCTCTGTGAAAGAATCTTCAATTCTCGTCTTTATTGGTGGCTTGAGTCTTCAGGTCTGATATCACAGTGTCAAGTAGGGTTCAGGTCAAAAGGCAGCATGACAGAAGACCAGCTCTTCAGGCTTACACAGAAAATCATTGATGGATTTCAAAGCGGGGAACAGACAACG